CCCTGCCGACGCTGACGTTACACTAGCGTGTGGTTTACTATCCATTTGTTTGGGAGATGAGGACATGGCGGTTTACTACCTCCACCAGTTCAGCGAATATCATTATCCTTTGGATAGCGAAGGACTAATGCTTAGGGGTGAGTTTCTGATACGATCTCTTTCGGCGTACAGTACACCAAATAATAACACCAACACGGATATCTTCTTGTATCCATCTAACCCATTAGTGTGCTCTTCTTTGTTGTTTGGGGTTTGGTGTAACGTCTGTGAGGTATCGTGACTACGACATCTGGTGCCCAAATTGCTACATTTGGTGGTGCGCCAATAAGGTCTGCGAGCTGCTCTAAGGTGGTCACGAAGTTTTCACAGTACTTTTGTGTAATCTTATAGATTATCCCATTCTGGTTAAAGTATCCTCTTGTAGGTTGTTTATTATGCTTCTTAATTTTAGTATTATGTACCTATTATTGTCTATAATGTACTAGTTTTTTGAACATATTTTTCGTGTAGGTATTGTGGTTGACTTCTTATGTATATTCTCTTCTTGTCTAAACCCGACTAGTTTTGTAATATAACCTAGATGGTTCAAAAAATGTTTTCTATATTTTATAATATTTATAATATGCAGACTGCTTATTATCCCACTTTCGTCAATTAAGAGAGTGTCAATATTAATAAAAAAAATAGCGAATTAATACAACATCAAATACCACATAGTTAAACTCCACTCAAGTTTGGTTCCCTTCACCTGAAAAATGTACTAGTTACCCTACTCACCATTCTCTATATAGTCAACTTCGCGTATGTTCTCTATGTAACCACACCTTCTGAAGTAGTAAAAACCACAAGAAGTATAATATACCACAAAAAGCGGCAAAAATGACTATGCCCGATCTACCAGACGATATACTTGGGAAGATTGTGAAGATGGTGTCAGAAGATCGATGGTGGGTGCTTGGTCCAATGCTCAAAGCTGGTACTAGAGGGAGAGACGCCGTCTACCGGGATGATGTTCTGAAAGTGGCTCGTATCTACAGTATCTGCTCCAATCCATCTGACATTTATGTTTACCGTTCCCCTCGAAGTGGCCATCAAATGGAAGGGCGGCACATGCCATTTTTCCAGAGATGTCTTGATGCCGGCAACAACATCGCAATCTTCTATGAAGGTCTTCGGCTGGCAGCGGAAGAAAGGGACATCAAGGGAGCCTTGACTTTGCTTAACAGAAACGTTCCTGCGGAAGGTGAAGCTACTCTAGCTTGTGCGATTCTTTCAATGTGTGAAGGCGACGAAGAGAAGTCCATCTCCTACCTCGAGAAGTTCGCTGAACACCATCACCGTTTGGGTACAAACGGGGTTAGGTTGTACGGTGAGGAGCTACTATCAGTATTGTGGGGTTTTAGATGTAGCCTAAAAAACTCATTCAAGAATACGTTTAAATTTCCCAAAAGCAGCTTCATTCATGTGCCTGACTGTGCTATCTATTGTTCTGTTCTGTGTGGTGGACGGGAGATTCCGTGCAACGACTGTTATCTGTGGTGGTTGGCCAAGAAGTTCAGTGATATGCTCTAAGATCAACCACATTATTCCACATCTTTTGATGCGTAACTACTGTTTATCAATTTTTAACAAGATGGTTAGGTAGTAATGAACCATTACTATTGTTTAGTTTAATGTAAAATATGTTTTCAGTTTCTTCATTTCGTGTAAAATAGGTTGTAACGAGTATGTTACTAACCATATTTA